TAACATTATCATTACTATTGTTACTATTATTATTGTTATTATTATCTTTAGGCCTACTATTATCATTATTATTGTTGTTGCTATTGTTGTTGTTGTTATTATTATTGTTGTTTTCATCATCTTCATCATTTATCTTTCTTTTCTCAGCCGTACGAGATCTTCAAAAATAAACAGTACTTGGAGACAAAAAAGGTGCTAGAGAGAGACTATCTTGTAAGCGTGCTACAGAATGATGGATCCCTTGCCCAGATGGCAGCCGGTGATAAGGTATGGAATACAATTAGATGGAATCAACGACCTTTTCAATACTGTTAGGTAGATTAAGAGAGAATCCACGAATTTAATGTTCATTTCCGACAGGACCAAAACAGCTGAAGGGAGAGTCTTTGACACTCCCAAAACACCCCAAACTCAAGAATGTTTCTTTGGGGACTCCAACCACTGTCATCTAGCGTACTATCAAGGACTCTTCCTGGGGACAGGGTAAAGGTTGAATAGGAAACGTTTAGTTCCTATTCTTGTACTCCCGGCTGCTTGATTTGTTCTTCGGAAGATGAAAATGTCTGAATTTCAACATTCTCAACAGCAACAAAAAACAGAGACCAGAAATGAAGTATTTGAGGAATGTCTAATGGTGTACATAAATATTGTATTATTATAAATGTATGACGTATTTTTTGTATGTATGTATTCATGCACCGTATGTAATTTCCTGTTATAATTATAATAGTTTACGCCATTGTAAACCAAATTTCCCAACGGAGACCAAAAAGTGGAATTGATTATTTTTACAATTTTCCTATAGGCTACCGTGAACGACTTTAATTGTACCAATACAGGCGTAAAACGTTAAGACAAACTGTAAATTTGCAGTTTCCAAGGACTCGCAAACTTTGGAGGCCATTTTCTCGCTAATTTTACCTCCGAAACCAGGCGACCCCCACCTCCGTTAATTGCGAATGTCTCAACTTCTATTCAAGATAGATGAATACTTTTTTTTCTTCGAAAGTAAGACAAAAGTTTAAAGATGGTACCAATAACTCCACATACCCAAAAAATGACGAGCGCCTGATTTCACTACGCTGCCTCACATTAAAATCTGTGTGTTTCATTTCATGTATAATTTATGTATGTTTGTTTGCCACTGCAACTGAAATATTTTCCAACACGAATCAATAAATTGCTATAGATAATTTATTATTCTATCATTACTTTTTATCCAGACTTTTGATCGTGACGCAGTACGTGGAGCTGTGGCCATGACTTTGACCATCATTTACGGCAATGTCAGCGACAAGGTCATCGACAAGGTGACATTTTTCTACATGAATTATTTTGACGTGTCCCCACTCAACGACTTGGCGGCAGACTTCTATTTCAACCTTCCCGCCGTCCAGTACGTGGAAGGACTCACCCAGGAATTCCCAAGACGTCAGAGTAAGGTAGGTTTTTTAAAAAAACGACTAGGAAGCACTAAGAAGGCGAAGGTGATAAAATATACTTTTGCCTGTTGACGGACGATCTCAAGGCAATATGCACGATAAAGCTTTGCCTGGGCAGTACACAAAGAGGAGGTCGATCTAGATTGCCCAACTACCACTTCCTATCCTTCTGTTCTTGATTTCCTTGGTATGCTCCATTGGAGAGACATCATCTCGTATATTTGGAAAGAAAGACAATGTACGAGTACGAATAGCTCACCCCTCCCTCTCTCTCTCTCTCTCTCTCTCTCTCTCTCTCTCTCTC